TCAGGCGCTCACAAACTTGCACTCCTGCAACAAAAGAGGTGCAACACTGGGTTCCTCATCCGTCGACTCTGCACATCACCCCACCCAAAGGAAACTCGTTGTCACATATAAGGACCCCTGATACAATGTCAACAAATGGTAGTTTGAAACAAACACAGCTTCCCTCTCCCTCCACCAAAACCAAATTGGATGCAATTGCAAGTTTGAATCAAACCAAGGAAAACAAAAATGGATAAAGTTGTATAAGAGTGCATCTCTTCAAGAAAAAGACAGAAACCGAGAAACTGCCTGATAATTTCTCCAATGTTTCCGCGGCCTCCACGTCTGCCAGCAGCCTTGCCATGGCCCAGGCAGTGTTCGCTAGCCCTCAGGTGCCAGGTCACAAGTCGCAGGGGGTGAAGTATTCTAAAAAAAATAAAAAACGGCAACATCCAAGACAAGGAACTCATAAACACACACACACAAATTCCACTATATCGATAGCTATATCCAAGCAGGCCAGTACTCAGACACGGTTTCAGGTTGGGATCAGCATGGCAGGGACCTAATGGTTCGAGCTGTATCGTTGGGAGTGGGAGATTCAAACACACCTGTGGTGGGTTCGACCACGCCGGACTGGAATCGAATGCAGGCACAGTGTGCTGCTTTTGCTTTTGGATCCCTTAAGTTGACCTGGCTGTTTCCGGAGCTGGTGGTTTTGCATTGCCAGCGTTTACATGTTAGGTCATGTTGTCACATGATTCTTGTCCCCAACCCCAAATAGGCCTCTCTCCCTTCAAGCCCCGACAACAGAAGCCACTGGCCCAAAGCAACCGCCCCCAAGCACTCAAATCCCAGCTCCCAAACCTTGCGCTCCAAAATCCTAAACAAGACAGGATGAAACCCAAGTGTCCACCACCATCCCCCCCCTCCCTCCCCTCCCCTCCCCTCCCCTCCCCTCCCCTCCCCTCCCCCCTCCACCTCCACCTCCACCTCCCTCCCCCCCCACCTCCCACCCCCCTCTCCCTCCCCCTCCCCCCACCCCCCACCCCGCCAGCCCGCCTTGGGCCTGGAAATCCGGAAAGATCTCCAGCGCCGAAGCCGCCAGCTGCTCCGCGCCCTTCGCCCGGCTGATCGCCAAGCTCCAGGCCTCTGACGCGAACCAGAGGCTCTTCGAAAGCTCGTTCCCTGCGTACAGCTCGGCCCAAAACTAACATCTCACCAGTTGACACCATGTTGTTTTCAAGGATATTTCTAGATGTACCAGGTGTTGACACCATATTTGTTTCAAGAATATTTCTAGATGTACCAGGAGATGTTGAGGTGTTTGAGGGACCCTGTTCTTGGGATTGACCGTCTTTAGTTGGTCTAGTTGGGGTTCCTTTCGGATGCGGAAAAAGGCATGGTTGCCTTCTGCTGCAAGCTGGAACCCGGTCATTAGAACCTGCTTAAGGTTCCCGAAGGGTGACACTGAACATCTGGCTTGGAGTTGAGGCCCGGGACCACAACCGCCTTGCGGGGGGAGGGGGCCCCCCCCTATATCATTTTTTGACCTCCACCCTCTGCTTCCATTTTGTTGCTGGCTGAGGGGAGGAATGTTTGGCAGGAAGGTTTCTATGCCCAAACACCCCCCCCATTTCAGCCTTGTCCTGTGGTCGAGTAACTCCATGACTAAACTCCGCTCTCCCCAGCTTCCGGCTTTCAACTGACCAGCTCATGGCAAACACTCCCGCATGCCTTGCGTTCCAAAATTTTAGTCTCCTGGAACACGTTGATAGCGGCCCAAGAATGCAACCCACACCCACGAAGACAGATCCAGCCAAGTCGATGGAGAACGAGCGCCTGTCGTCCACAATTTTTTCTTTGTGCTGCAAAGGGTTGAAACCGGTCCAAGAAAATCCCTTTGTTTTCGTCCCTTTGCCTAGGTCCTCCTGTCGAGAGGTTAGAATAAGGGTACCCTTTGTTCTGTATATAGTCTATTTTTAGTCAGGGTGGGGTTGCAAGAGAAATCTTCAAAGAACAAAAAGTCTGCAGAAGATTGACAAGTACCTAGAAGGGTGGAACATGTGTTTTAGAAGAGGGGTTTACACAAGGGTTGCAGGAACCCTCCCCCCAAAAAAGAACGGTCAAAGGGCATCCAGCTGGGAGACCTAGACATGTTTGGTGGACAACGGACGTGGCTCAATCGGTTTTGGGCGTAACGTTGTTCGATTTTTGGGCCCCGGCCACGTTGGAAAGCCCATGGCTGTCCAGCTCAGAAAGCCGTCCCAGAGCCGTGGAGCCCAGGGCCTCCAGCGAGCGACAGAGCAGCTGCTTGCGGCATATATTTTTTTCGCTGTGGGTTTCCTTTTTGGACGGGAGTGCGCATAGGTGTCCGAAAAACCAGGCTTCATTTCTGGGGTAAGCCGCAAAGGGAATGTTTTCTAGATAGGTGTCCGAAGAAAAAAAAACAAAAACAAAAAACAACATATAAAAGGAGCAGCTTTTTTGAATGGCCGCTGATGGGAAACCGTGGGCAACCTTTCGGGGAGCCCTAATCTAGGAGGCGCCGGGATGTACGGACCATCCACCGGAGACAGCCGCCAAGTGGGAGACAAGGCAGGCTTGATTCATGCCTTCGTTCCCAAGTTCCCCAACAGCTAGCAAATGATGATTCTATAAGACAAACCCAAAATCCACCTCCCGGAAGGGCTTTTGCCTACCCTGGGTGAAATGACAGGGGCCCCTTTTGGTTAGGGTTTCGACAACACGAGGGGTCTTGTGCTTTGCTCATCACGACTGGATCAGGCAAACAAGCCAATGATGGTATCGGGGGAATGCTCTCACAGTAAAGCGCAGCCGTTGCTTGTGCTCGCCAACATGCTGCACATGTCTTGGAGACAATCGCCTGCAGATGCACAGCTTCAGGGTTTCGTTAATGGGGGCGTTCAAAAATCATCATCTGCATGGCATATTGTCAATAAGCTAGTTACACGCGACGTTCAACATGGACAGGTTGCTTCTGTTCGGGAACCATGCACCTTCCCGTGAATGTGTTTTTTTTTGCATTGCTGCGGATTTTTGGCAACTCAGCACAGGAAGTCGGGGCAAGTGGCTGGGACAGTCTTCCCCAAAACCCAAGGGTGAAACTGGCCTATCTGGACGATCCCTCCCAACGGCAAACAAAGGAAACCGGGTCTCTGGTTCTCACATGCCAAAAAACAGACCATAGACGGCACCAAGGCATTTGTTGGTTTCCCTAAAGATGAAACGAGTCGGGCAGCCTCACACGTCACAGCATCGACCATTCCCAAGGTGAACATTTGTACCTGGACCCCCACAATTCCCTTAAAAGTTGGGGATTGCCGTAGGAACATGAGTGAATTCCCACCATTTGTGTGGCTAGTTTTCCCATTGGGTCTCAGCCCAGCTAGGCTCCGGGGTGGTCCGGGGCGGGGGTTCCACCAGGGTCCCACGAGGTTCTGCGAGGGGTGCGGGGTGGTGCGAGCACTAAAAGAGCACCGCATGCTGTCGGGGATATCACCTGAGCTTATTTTTAGGTTGAGGATCCAGGTCGCCATCGACAAGCGCCCCATCGGCCTGCAGGCTCCTCTGCGCCGAGCTCCAGCTCCGCTCCGCGTTCTCCGGGAGCCGAGTGCCCTACGCGCGACGGCGGGCGCCCGGGCGCCCGGGCGCCCGGCGGGTCTCTTCGTTTTTTGGGGGGGGGGTTTGGTAGTGGTTGATGGTTGGTGGATAGTGGGTAGCGGTTGCGGTTGATGGTTGGTAGTTAGTGGGTGGTGGTTGGTGCTTGGTGGTTGGTGATTGGTGGCAGTTCATGACAATTAACAATCCGTGATTAGTGGCTAGCAACACTGCGTGATGGTTGGAAACCAGCTACCCTGCCGCTGACCCTGTTGCAACCAGTAGTACAAAAAGGGAACCAACGGAAAAGGACCTATTTTGGGGAGTTCTTCTATTTAGGGAAAGACCCGTAGCTAGCTATCCGGTGGGTGCCTCTTGGGTGGACGGAGTGCGGCTAAACAACAATGGTTCAGTTCTGGCTCATATTGAGTGAAACTACGCCACAAATCAAACAAGATCCTAGTAACTTAGTAAGCGTTTGTTGGTGGTGGTTGTTGTTGGTGCTAGTGGTGGTTGGTGTTGTTGGTGACGGTGGTTGGTCACTGGTTGGCATAATTTGCAGGTTCTCAGTGAATCCTCCTGCAGATCAACCCCTCGTTTCCATCCCCCAGTTTCCTAAGTCTATTAGTTCATTCCCAACCCACCTGTTGATTTTCTGGGAACCGGGGCGGAATGGGAGGGAGGGGAGGGGGAGGGAGCCCAAACAAGCCCTAAATAAGGCCTTATTAAGAACTTATTTAGACTCACTCCCCCTCCCCTCCCCCCCAGCCCTCATGACTCTCTCTTTGTCTCTCGGCTGCCTCCATGCTGTCCGCCCAAGGCCCCACTTTGGCCAAGGCCCACCTCAGCCACCGACCCAAAGCGAGCGAGCGAGCGAGCGAGGGGCCCGTCGCGGGCTTGCCGGGGGGGCGCAGGACATGTTGAAGGAGCAAAGCGCTAGAACTCGCAAATGATGGTAAAATGTTGGCTTCGTGAAAAATGGCAGTTTCTCAGACACAACGATAACACACATCATAAACATAAACGTAAGCACAAGTCTGTCCAACCTTGTGGAAGCACCAAATCAGGCTCGAACAACGCGTTTGGCTTGTTTCATGCTTTGCCACTTCTCTGCATCATCCACGCAGCTTGCCAACCAAACACGAGGGGATGGCCCAAAGAAATTCCCACCAAAATGGTCCCAGCAAAGTCCATGAACTCAGGGAGTGAGCTTTCCAGGAGGGCACCTCAGGTCCCTGAACGAACCACCAAAAGGTTGCACCAAGCCACAAAGCTTTCGACACCTCCTTCACGTGGGGCACTTCCTGCTGGCTCGGGGCCACCTCGGCTTCGGTGAAATGCCAGGAGTGCACCTTTCGGATTTCGCTTCCGACTAAAATGGCGCCTGTGGGAAGGTACCTGGAAGGTGATTTTCTTCAAAAGGGAACTGCCAGTGCATTTGGGATACGGTTCCTCCCACTAACATGGCATCAGGAGGGCACTGGAAGGTCATGTTCCTCTTTAAGGGAACCTCTGTAGGGTGCCACGTTAGTGGGAGGGAGGGTAGTCGGCTTGCCGTGCGATTCAGGGCAGGAGAACGACTGTAACACTGTTGGGACACCCCTGTCATGCGAACTACTGCACTAAATAGCGATCTCATCTAGCTAGCGCCTGTGGCAATCACCTCAAGACCCATGTACCTTGGAACCAAGGCAAAGATTCGAACAAACACCTACAAGACTTTCCGGGAACCCTGGCAAGATAAATAGAACAGGGTCAGCGTCAGCGAGGAAATGTTGCGAAACAGACCACCTCAAAACAATGCCACAATGCCATACACATTGCGATAAATGCCATACACACACACAAACACAAAACACATGGTGTACGGCATTCTAGACGGCACACTTTTTAGTGGCACCCCTTATGGCATACTCCCCGCCTAGCGTTAGCCGGCGCTGAAACTATAAGTTGTAGTTTGGCCGAGCGAGTTTGTGACTTAACATGCGCAATAATATATATATATATGTATATATATATATGTATATGTATATAAATAGTATAATATATATATATATATCAGAAAATGGGATAGTGCCTCAAAGCACCTACAAATGCAGTTTTTCTTCCTTTTGGCTACCCTTCAAAGGGTGAAAACGGTAGCCTGAACCGTTTAAACAAGCCGACCCACACACACACACATGCCCGCAACCTTTGACATGGGATCCGCCAAATCAGCTAAACGTCTTTTTGCGAATTGGCAACCACTATAAACCAGTCGGATGCACATGGGATCCATCCGCATGTCACAAGCCACATGAGATCCATGAGACCCAGGTCTCCAGCGTTCAGCGCAGCTTTCTTCGCCAGTCGTGCTAGTTGGCTCACCAGAGGGGGCTCCTGTCGCGGAATCGGGATGTCAATGGGTGACCGCTCTCGGGGGGGAGGAGGGGGAGGGGGGAGGGGGAAGGAGGGGGGGGGGGGGGTAAAAAATGAAGCACCCATTGCTATAGACCTTCTAAAAAAAATGAACGGCCCCCATTGTGTGGTTGTTCTCCCAAGAGTATATCCAAGGCGCGGTAGATGGTTCAGTGATGACATGTTCCCAAATATGTGGCGAAAAATGCTTTAAGACTTCAGAAGGATTCAACCATTGCGCAAAGCCTGGATGCGAGCGCTCCCTCAGCAGCGCCCGCTGTTCGTTTGGACACTCTCAAGCACACTTAGTCATGAGCATTGCCAGGAATGGAAGGTATCCTGTAAGTTCTTCATGGGGAGTCCCTAATCCTAAACGCACGAATTTTTCTGTCGGCTTCACCTGTGTGACTCGCAAGAAGCCCAGCCAACGGTGAAGCTAGAGAAAAGCATGGAACACAGCCCAAAGCCCCCGCCAAAGAAAGGTTCTTGAGTAAGACCTTCTTAGACGCTGCTAGTTTTCTGAGAACCATTCCGGTTGGGTCTGGCACCGATGAGCCCGGGATGAGCTGAGCTTCCGAGTCCTTGAGCGCGTTTCCGTAGTCCGTGCTCTTGGCAATCCGGTGCAAGGCCACCACTGCGTGCACCGTGTCGAACTCCTTCGTGCAGACGACTTGACTTGGGAGCTGATTTGATATCGGCAAAGGAAAACCACACATCTTGGATGCTACGAATGTACCCTTAGGCATCGATTTGAGGTCTGTTAAACTGTTGAAATACCACAAACACCGAAACCCTAAGAATATAGCTACCATTAGGCATCCCTTTAAGATCTGCTAAACATACAAAGGATGGCTGTCAGGTCGCCCCGCATGAGGTTTGGACCACTGTCGTCGCCGTCTTCTTGAATCGGGCCTTGGCTTTTGCCTCGCCTCTCCGAGGCAAATAAGAATCATCTTGGTTGCTGTTGACCCCCCTGCAAAAAGCATAATTGTTTGGGGTTTAGTGGAAAACACCTTTATCCGCCGACATTGCTCGGCGTGTCGGACACCTAAGAGAGGATAGAGGATAACCCCCCCCCTAACCCCCCCCCCACCCGACGTCTGATACGTTTGGGGTTTAGTGGAAAACACCTTTATCCGCCGACATTGCTCGGCGTGTCGGACACCTAAGAGAGGATAGAGGATAACCCCCCCCCTAACCCCCCCCCCACCCGACGTATGATTACGTGGGGGGGGGGGGGCGGGGGGGGGGGGGATGGGGGGGGGGGGGGGCCCCCCCCCACCCCCCCCCCCCCCCCCCCAAGGACCGCGCGGCAATTTGATGACGTTCCACTAAACGTAGTCTTCGGGGACCCGGTGTCGCAAAACAGGGGTCCCAGGCTCGATTCCCCCTGCCGGATTTTTTGCTGGCTTGGGCTTCCTGCATCCTTTTGCCGAAAATCTGGAAAAACTCTGTGTTTTTGGACATCATCTTTGCGAAAACGCTGGAAAAAACAGTGTTTTTTGCGGGAAATACTGGGGAGCAAAGGGGAAGTGCAAGGATACATACATACATACATACAGACATACATACAGACAGACATACAGACATACATACATTACATTACACAACATCACCTTACATTACTTTAAATTACATCACATTACATACATACATACATACATTACATTACATTACATTACATTACATTACATTACATTACATTACATTACATTACATTACATTACATTACATTACATTACATTACATTACATTACATTTACATTACATTACATTACATTACATTACATTACATTACATTACATTACATTACATACATACATACATTACATACAAACATACATACATACATACATACATACATACATACATTACATACATACATACATACATACATACATACATACATACATACATACATACATCCATCCATACATACATACATACATACATACATACATACATACATACATACATACATACATACATACATACATACATACATACATACATACATACATACATACATTACATAACATTACATTACATTACATTACATTACATTACATTACATTACATTACATTACATTACATTACATTACATTACATTACATTACATTACATTACATTACATTACATTACATTACATTACATTACATTCCATTACATTACATTACATTACATTACATACGTACATACATTACATACATACATACATACATACATACATACATACATACATACATACATACATACATTACATTACATACATACATACATACATACATACATACATACATACATACACATTACATACATACATACATACATACATACATACATACATACATGCATACATACATACATACATTACATACATACATACATACATACATACATACATTACATTACATTACATACATACATACATACATACATTACATTACATTACATTACATTACATTACATTACATTACATTACATTACATTACATTACATTACATTACATTACATTACATTACATTACATACATACATATATGCATGCATACATACATACATACATACATACATACATACATACGAGGGAGGGAGATTGGGGAGAGAGTGGCTTGGGGGGATGGGGAGGATGGGGAGCGGAGGGAGGGAGAGAGGACGACAGAACACACCAGGGAGACAAGGGAGAGAGGAAGAAGGAGAAAAGGGAGAGGACAATGTCGGCGGACTGAGCCGGAGGCTCTAAAGTTTCAACCAAAAAGTTAAAGTCTAAAGATCCAACCCAATAGCAGTCAAGTCATGTGGCAACAAATGAGGCATTTGGACCATTTGGAAGGCAAATGTGAGCCAATATTGCTTTGCATACATGGAGTGTCTGGGTCTGACGGTTCTTTTCTTCACATAGACCAAACCACATAGACCAAACGCGTAGCAGCAGGCATTGCCGTGCTGCGCACAGGGTGGGTCGATGTTGCAACAACGAAGAGACATCCTAAAACATCAGGCAGGCAATTCAAGGGTGGGGGTGTGCCCGCTTCCCTTACCTATCACCGCCATCGAGGCAAACATCATGACATGATTTGCTATGTCGTGTCATTTTGCTTATGCCACTGGCTTACGCCACCTTACGCGCGTGGAGATTTTCCTTACGCGGCATGTGTGGAGGTCTTGCTTACGCCACCTGCTTACGCCACCTTACGCGCGTGGAGCAGTTTCTTACGCACGGGTCGATATGACACAAGTCTTACTAAACATGTGCAAGGAGGTTTTGGACGCCGCTCATGTTTTCTTGCGGCGCTAAAGGAGACCTCCTTGGGTGAGATCTCGTTGCAACGCAGTCGACACAACGCTCACACGCAGTTCGTTCACCCGAACTCGTTTCTTGAAAGCCGCTGTCCATGGCTCTTAACTCAGAAAGGTGGGTGTGGAATACAGGAAAATGGGCGGGTCTAAAACATGGGAGAATATCACTCCCCTTCCGGTGCCACACTGCAAAGGCATGAGCTGTTTAGCACCCAGATTGCGAGATAGGATGCGATGTGCAGCGAGATGACAGGCTGGAAAGAAAAAAACGTATGAAAACTCTTATCCAAAGTTGTTTTCATTGCAAATCCAAGCGGGTCTTCATAAGCATGAGGTCCCCCAATACCACGCCCTTTTACATAAACCGAAGTCTCCAGCTCTACGGACAGTAACCAGCCGCGTGAGCGTGGACCTTCTGGCCCGAGAGATAGCCCCAGTGAACCCATCGGCCCGCAGAAAGGACAGGAATCATGACAACTGCTGTCGACATATTGGACCCCATGTGCGTCACAATCAAAACCCGGTATCAAAATGGTCGTAATCCCAGAACCAAGTAAAGAATTGAAAAGGCGGCCGCAACTATTTATGGTTGGGAGTCTCCCTTACTAACCTGCATCTACCGGGTTTTGATTGTGGCTCATGTGAAGCCCTCCCTTAAAGACGGCACGAACGATACCGAAGCAAACCTTAGGGGCCCCGCATCT